CATCAACATCGATGTTTATAAAGGGGAAGGGGAAGGATAGGTCCAAATCACATATAATAGGGACTACAAACAGAAAATACTTTACGTATTTTCATTTTGCTTTAGTATAGTCTCAGGTGGGCAGCAACATCAACAGAATATTTGATTAGGAGAGTGGAAATTTAAAACTGCCTTCCCAATCTCAGTGTCATTTTTAGACTAGAATCTAGAGAATGCTTACATGTTCATTGCTATTTACACTAGCTTCTAAAAGTAAAAGTTTCCAATGCCTATAAAACATTATGAAGAATTTAGCTGTGTTAATATAAGTTGTCTTAGTTCATCTCAGAACCCATTCACATCAAAAAGTTCTGTAATGAATCAAAGGATGACAAATGTAAGTGAATATTAGTTGTAATACCTTTTAGGTGTTGCCCATTACTATCTGATGCTTCCACTTAAACAGAGAAAAATGAAAAGGTATGGGCCAGTTGGCAGTGTACGGTTAAGGTGGTTGGATCCAACCTGGTTGAATGAGCAGTTTGAATACTGGATCCAGTGGCTTGAGTAACATGCCGGACATGTGTGAGTGTGTGCCCAAATTCTCAGAAAAAGGAAGAAATGGAGGAGACGGGACTGTGGCATGACCTTCCCCAAGGGAAGTGCTTTCTTGGTTTCTTGGTTTCCCTCTCTCTGTCCCTCTCTGGCACACAGCCTGGAAAATTAAAAAAAAAAAAATACTAATATAAGAACCTGCAATTGTGTTCACACACACACCACACATGCACACTCACATGCACATATACACACATATCTTAATCTGCATGACAATCTTTTGAGGTAGGTATTATTTTCCCATTTTTATGTAGCAGGGAGGCTTAGTGTGTTAGTAAGATGCCTGTGGATTGGCGTAGGTTTGGATGTAAAACATCAAAACATGATCTGCATCTTCACAGAGCGTATATGTTTTAGCTAGTAAGATGAAAAATATATATATATATAAAAAAAAGATAAAATTCAGTGGAAGACTTGAGTAAGATTTTTGGACCAAATGAAAGAACATAAGACAGTTGCAAAATCCCTTACATTGGCAATAGTCAAAGTAGGGAATATTATTTCAGGATACAGTGATAAGGGATTGTTTCAATGGAGGTGATGGAATTATGGAATTTAAACAGGGTTTTGACAGAACTCAGAAGGTAGTGAATATAAAGCTGTAAATTTTAGAGAAAGACAATGTTAGCAGGACAAAATATGGGGTAGATTAAAATGGATATAAAAATAAAATACTCTTAAAAAGGAATTCAGAGCATAGAAAGATGAATAAACAGAAAAGTAATGAGTATATAATTATGAAGTACTTACTTGGCTATGCTCATTTAAAGAAATATTAATTTAAGTATTAATTTAAGCCATTTTCAAAATAATATTGGGAGGAACTTACACCTATATCATTGAAGAGAAAACTGAATTTCTGAATGTTTAAGTTGTGTAAAGCTACATGGCTGACCACAGTTTGAATCCTGCACCAAGCAACTTGAAAATTATGTCATGATCGTGTGCGCGCCCAAAATCCTGAGAGGACAATGGAGGAGGAGGGATTGCTGTGTGACCATCCCTCTTGGGGGATGACTTCTCACTTTCCTTCCCTCTGTCCCTGGCAAACGCATGCACCTTATAGCAAAAACCTAAACAAAATAAAACAATCAACAAAAACTTTGTGTTATAGTAGATAATACCACTCCTGCATAAGAAAGAATTTTACTGAATCTTCCTATTGTGATTTTTGTTCCTACAACACTGAGCACCACATGCTACCACTGATGTCTCTTCATGGTCCTTCTCTGAGACAGAATTTGGTCCTATTCAAATTCTGATCCAATCTTATTATACCTTGTGCCATATATTTTTTTCATATCATGTTTTGTTCTTTTTATTTTATTTTAATTTTTTGAGAGGTTTTTGCTATAGGGCGCGTGCACTTGCCAGAAAGACAGAGAGAGACAGAGAGAAAGAAAGTGAGAAATCACCCCTCCAGGGGGATAGCCACACTGCAATCCCTTCTCCTTTCTCCTCTCGGGATCTTGGGCATGCATGCACACACGCCTGCTGTGAGTTTAAGCCACGGGGTCCGGGATTTGAACCACGGTCGACTACATGGGAGTCCAGCGACATAGCTATTATTCTAACTGCTGGTCCCTTTTTTTTTAAAAAAAAAGAAAGGGTGAAAGCACCTCCCTAAGGCATATAGCCACACCACTATCCCTTTTCTGCCATTTCTTTCTCAGGACTCTGGATGCACTCACATGCACCTGGGTGACCCAAAAGCTACTGGGTCTGGCTATGTGGGATCCACCTTAACCACTATGCCACCTGGCTGACCCCCACGTATCAAATTCTTACTTCAAGTATTTCCATATATTCATTACAGTATATAACTGCTATAAAACATTTCCATTTATTTTCTTTCTAAAAAAATGTGTTTCTTTGTTCCCTGATCATTTTCTCATTTCCCTGCCTCCTATCTTGCCTTAGACACTCTTGTCCCGAGAAGCCCTCCACACACCCTTTGTGATCAGCAATGCTTGTGCATACTCAAGTGAAAAAAAAAAAAAAAACACGTCTAAATGCTGAAGAAACCCACTTGTCTGCAGGATATTTTATTTCTTTGCTACATTTTTCCATGAGGATCTTTACTGGAGATGTGTACATATTTTTGAGATATGGAGAAAAACAATCTCCCCCCCAAAAAACAGGCTGATTCAAAAGTAAAATCAATCTTCCATGGGGTGCTTTTTGCTGTGTTCTTTTGCTAACAGTTGTAAGAGGTTGGTATACACTTAATTGTGACTTACTGTGAATTTATGGTTGGTTGGGAATTAACTTGTTGTTTACCAGATGAGGCTTTTTAATTCTTGCGCCTTTGTGAAAAGGGGTTGTTACTGCTATTGTTTTATCCTGATTTCCAGTTTTAAAAGGTGAATGGAATAAATGGGTATCCAGTCAACTGAAAATACTTAGTAGGTTAAGAATATTTATTTATTTGGGACCAGCAGTTGGTGTAATGGCTAGGTTCCTGGACTCCCCTGCAGTTGACCACGGTTTGAGTCCTGGACCCAGTGGCTTAAACTCATGCCAGATGCGTGTGCATGCATGCCCAAGATCCCAAGAGGAGAATGGAGGAGAAGGGATTGTTGTGTGGCCATCCCCTCAGAGGGTGATTTCTTGCTTTCTGTCTCTCTATCTCTCTCTGTCTTTCTGGCGAGTACACACACCCTATAATAAAAACCTCCTCCCCTCAAAAAAAAAAAAAAAGAATATTTATTTATTTATTTTTAAATTGCCTAGGGTTAGCAGATGGTGGAGCAGTTACATGACTGCACTTAAAGGCCTGGACCCAGTGGTTTGAACTCATGCTGGGTGCATATGAGTGTGTGCCCAAGATCCCTAAAGGAGAATGGAGGAGAAGGGATTGTGGCATGGGCAACTCTTCTATGGCTGATTGCTCACTTTCACTCTCACTGTCTCTGTCTCTCTCCAATGAATGCATGTACCCTGAGGCAAGGAAAAAAATACCTTCTAAAGAATTAATAAATAAATAAAAATAAATTGCCAAAGACTGTGGAAATCGGAGATACAGAGACAAAGAGAAAGAGAGAAAGATAGGGAGAAAGCAGCCCCCCAAAACATCACTCCTTCTTTCTCTTTCAATTCTGTTAATACTACTAATAAAAAGAGTTTTACAAAAAGGGGTGGGTGTAGACATGTCACAATCCCTTCTCCATTTATATGGGGCATACACACATATGTGCCTGGTGTGTTTTTCATGCTACAAAAGCTGAGATTCAAACCAGGTTGGTCACACACACGGGATCTGGTCCCCTTAGCCACTATGCCACAAGGCTCACCCAAGAACATTTATTGAATAGACATCATACAATGTAAACATGTATACATTTCTTGCACACATATTAGACATGTAAAATTTTAGATTTAGTTCATAAAAACTGGAAGCTGAACAAATGTTTGAAAGTCAAGTAAATGATCTTTGTCAAGGATTTTACATGACATCAGTATGTGATATGTATAATAGAAGGGATAAAGAAATGAATCAACATACATAGGAATGTGCGGTTGGCAGGTGATATGGTAGTGAAGGCACTGGACTCCCACATGGTCAACCATGGTTCAAGTCCCAGACTTGGTGACTTTCTTTCTTTCTTTCTCTCTCTCTCTGGTCAAAGTTAAAAATAGTGATAATAAATAAAATAAAATCAATAATTTTAAAAATACATGGGCATGGTAAAGAGTGAACTAAAAGAAGGTGAAAGTCATGGTCAAGTACCACATAAATATTGTACTGGGTGACTGAAAAATGACTCTCAATCCCTTTATTGGGAGGTCCGCTACACAAACAGTTTTACAAGTCATTAACACAAAAATGAAAAAGACAAAAAAAAAAAGGCAAAAAACGACAAATATTTCCAAGAAAAGACTAGATTTGCCTTAACAACAACGAAAATTAATCACAAGGAACTTTTCCAGTCTTCTGAGGCTGTAGCTTTCCTAGAACCCACGCAATACCTTAATGAGAAAAATGAGTAAAAGAAACGCCGGCTCTGAAGAACTGCTTAAAAGGCAGCAGGGCATCTGTGGCTACAGTGATTCTATTAAATGTTAAACTTCAATGACACAATCAAAACTTTGAAGCTAATATTTCATTACGATACTGAGTGAAAGGGCCATTAGGAAAATATGTTAATACCTTTACTGCTTCTTTTATCTGGATACATTTTCTTTGCTAGTGAATTCATATGAATATGGATGTGTTTTTTTTAAATAAAAATAAAAATTCAGACTCACTGAAGATCAATTTTACAAAAATCTACCAAAAAATAGGATATTATTAATAATAAATTATAACATGACCATGGTTAGCTTTTCTCTAACTGAAACTGAATAATGAACTACATAGATGTTTATGATCTGCATAGACAAGCGAAATTTGCCACTGTACTCACTTTTGGTCACGACACCTTCTAAATGGATGATGTTAGGGTGATCGAACTGCCCCATGATACTTGCTTCACCTAGGAAATCTCTGCGTTGCTTTTCAGTATAGCCGACTTTAAGGGTTTTGATAGCCACAGGTAATTCTCTTTTCCCTGGTAGTTTCAAACGCCCACTACAAACTTCACCAAATTCACCTGTGGTAAAGATAAAAAGAATGCACACACTCATTTGAAATTTTTACTCTAATATTTTAATACATTCTTTAAGTATTAAGGCTTAGACACACGCAAAAAAAAGTCAAAAACAGGAGACCAAGCTTCACGGTCAATGCTAATAGAAATAAATATATCCTGAGGGAAAAACCATCTACAGATGATCATAAAACACTTGGGAGTTATTAGCTTTATCCATCTCCCTACAAAACCCTTGTTAGAAAATAATTCTAAACAACTGACTGAAAATCTCTCCTTACTCTTTCAGTTCTAGTAATATTATTAATAAAAAGAGAAGAGAAGCAAAAATTATAACTGGACAAAAAAGAAACAATTTTAGGGCAGAGAAGAATTGAATTATGTAAATGCTTTTGCATGGTAACAAATTCACTATGTCGCTATAAAACAGAAGATGATGAAACACTATCTGTCTGAAAATATATGTTTTGCTGTTTTCCTTGTCTTTCACAAACCATATGTTTGCTGGTTTAAGCATGAGCCACACAGAGGGTTACATTAAAATGTGATCCATAACCACTTTGAAAAAAAGCCAATTACAAAAGATGACCACACAAAAAAAAAAAAATTACAAAAGATGACCAACATTCTATGTTAGATCCAGACATTGATATATTAGATCCCAGAGTAGGAACAAAAGTTAAAAGTCAGAATTAAACATTAAAACATTGTTGTACCTGCTCCTATAACTCTTTCAATGGTGATACATGATGCTTCTATCTCCTTGGCAAATTCGTGGACAGCTTGATTGGGATCCTCATAGGTATGTGGATCAATGTACGTTCTTACTCCTGGCAGTTTAACTGTAAAGATAATGGGCATTAAAATAGACGTGGTTGTGAGAGAGGAACAAAATCAACCTGCTAGCATAGCTTAAGTCTCTAACCCCTAGAAGTGACTTGTCTACAGGAAAGGCCATCTCTCCTGGGTTAGAAGAGTCATTTGTACTCCTACTTCACTTTTACAATTTAAAAAATATGGATCGTTGGGGCCGGCAGTTGGCATGGTGGTTAAGGGTGCTAGACTCCCACATGGGAGTCGACCGTAGTTCGAGTCCTGGACTTGACTTGCTTTCTCACTCCCCCCCCCTCTCTTTTTCTCTCTCTCTGTCTTACTCTGTCCTTCTCTGGTCAAATGAAAATAAATAAATAAATAAATAAATAAATAAATAAATAAATAAATAAATAAATAAAATTCCATTTAAAAGAATACAGATTGTTGGCATGCCCAAGAAATGAATATGAGACAACTTATCTGAGTCAATATAACCTTTAGTCATATTATTCAGAAAGCCTCTGAGGAAATGATGACAATTTGGTTTATTACAATGGATGATAAAATGCAAGTCATTAACTGATAGCTTATTATTCTCTGTTTCACTTAGAGATATCATCATGAAAAGCTAATTTTTATTTTTATAAAGTAATTCAGAATAATCTTTCTGGGGGCCAGCAGATGGCATGGGAGTTAAGGCACTGGATCCCGGGTGGCCAACTCTAAGTTTTTAGTCCTAGACATGGCAGCCTGAGAAACATGCTGGGCACATGTGCATGTGTGCTCCAAAAGCCCAAGAGCAGAATGGGGGAGGAGGGACTGCAGCATAGTTATCTCCTCTGGGAGACGATTTCTCCCTTTCCTCCATCTCTGTCTCTTTCTGTCTCTCTTTGGCAAGCACCTGTGCCCTATGGTAAAAAAAATAAAAATAGGGAACCAGCAGTTAGTGTAATGGCTATGTCGCTGGACTCCCACGTAGTCAACCATGGTTCGCGTCCCGGACCCGGTGGCTTAAAACTCACGCCAGGCGCTTGTGCATGCGTGCCCAAGATCCCGAGAGGAGAATGGAGGAGAAGGGATTGCAGCGTGACCATCCCCCCTGGGGGGGGTGATTTCTCGCTTTCTGTCTCTATGTCTCTGTCTGTCTGGCGAGCGCACGCGCCCTATAGTGAAAACCTCTCCAAAAAATAAAAAAATAAAAATAAAAAGTAAAAAATAAAAAAAACAATAAACCTAACAATCTTTCTGTGGTATGGTATGATAAGGCTGACAAAGAAGTAAAAAAGAAAAAGAGATGTCCTACTTGTCCCTTACCTCTGTCACTGCATAAGTTTATATAAGCCTCTTATATTCTAGGAGTTCAGTTTGATCACCTTTCCAGGCATCAATTTCACCCTCATAATGTTTCAGGGAATAAATAATATTATATAACATAGGTCTATCAAATGGACTCCACACTTTGCACCATGATTTATGGTTTTAATGATGTTGATATTTCTGGTCATGGTAGAGTAATTAAAGCAAAAGAAACTCTTTTTGTCATTTACTTGGCACATCAACTCTGATCGTTGACTGATTAAGAAAAAGGAAGACTATATATTAAAATACCACAGTTACACCTCGTTTAGGCTAGTTTTTCTAAGCTCATTCATTTAACTTGATTTTCTGCATTTTTTAAAAGTGTGGTCTTGTTTCAAGTCGTTTGAACCAAGGCTGTTGCTCTAAGATCCGTTCGGAGAAATTCCTACTGTAATATTCAAAAAAGAAAAAGAAGTGGGATATTTTATTCACTTAACCTGGTAGTGTTATTTAACGATGGATTTCTATTCATTGTGTTGCTAGGAGTTATAATTAGCCTCAAAATTTGATTTGAAATATAATAGCTTTTTATATTCAACAAAAATTTTTTTATTTTAATGATTATAATGAAAGTATGCTTTGAAGAATTGAATAAACCATCCAGCTGTTGCCTAGAGACAGGGCAATGCCCAAGCCCATATGCTTTATAGGAATGTAACAGAACACTTTTTTTTTTTTTAAACAATAATTTTGGTCAGTTACCTAGCTTGAAAAGAGATTAAAATAAACAAAAACAAAAACAAAAACCAGTAATCTCCCCCATTTTGTTTTGACTTTATTTTCTACAATTTGCTTACTGTGCCCATTATGAAAATGCATCTTTTCCTCTTCTGGATCTTGTTTTGCTTTGCTGTAGCCACATCGCCTGGAACAAAGTAAGCACAATTAGCCACATCCGGCATGGGTGAATCTCATCTCGCCCCGTGGCATGAAATGTTATTGGAATTACTGCAGCCCTAAACTGATGTTCATACTAGTAGCAAGAAAGAACACCAATGATCTTTTTGGACGAATTCCCCAACCAGTACCCCTCCTTTCAGCAAATAAACTGTCTTAGATGTCACAGGGAATTCTGAAGCAATTCAAGCCTGTTATTCCTTGCCTCTCATCATGTACGGTACACTGGACATTTTTCTGTTTCCTTCCTCTTTCATTCTTTTGGCAGGTCACAGGCCACCGCCTCTTTCAGGATGAATTGCCCAAAATGTGCCACTGATCGCATCGTGTCCTACCTTTACACTCTCTCATGTCCTTCTGAACTACCCACTAATTGGCAAGTCTTTGCAAACTGCTCTTATTCTTGACCAAAATCAGTTTTTTTGAGGTTCACAAATGACAGCTTAGCATGTAAATCTAACGCCTTTAGCCCAGTTTTTCATTATTTTTAATTGACTGCAATCCCCTCCCCTCCCCCCTTTTTTGATGCCTCTTGCTCCTCTCTTCATTTATATGTAGACATTTCCATAGGTTCTCTATATGACCTCCTCTGATTCTCTTTTCTCGATCCATCCATTTCCATCAACTTAATCAATAGTTTTATTCATCTGGTTGAATTTCTACTCTTACTCCAGATACATGTATATTATAGTGATATTCCATTGACATACAAGCTCCATGGACCTGACAAATAAATCAGTGTATTTCTTTTTCAACTATGACCTGTCTTCTTCTGTGAATAACACCACTTTGGCTTTGGTCTCTTAAGATCTAAGCCTTTCTTCTGTCCTTCACAACAAATTAATTGCCACATCCCAAACATGATACAATGTAAATATTTTATAATCCTTCTCTTCCTTTTCATTAACTCTACCACATCCTCAATTAAGGCCTTGCTATTTTTCATACAAGTACCTCCATTCTATAATTCCTATCCTAAACTATACTAGACATTGCTACAGCCAAACTACTGCACATAAAATACTTTTCTATGACTGTCTAATTTTTCTATGGCAAAGTCTTTAATAAAATATTGAAGTAAAAGTTTGTAAACACTTATGTCTTCTATCAGCTCCAAATATTTATCTTCAAGTGTACCAATTTGTTTTCTAAAATCCCCATACTTACAGACATTTACACATACTAGTTCCTTCAGCGAAAATATTTTTCTAACAATTTCCAATCATCAAATTCAGTTCAGTTTTGGCCTTTTTCACATTTTTTCCCCTATGATTCCTCAACTTAATGAAATAGAGTTCTCTCTGAGGACAATAATTCTTTATTAGGTCATCAGAAAAATTAGGATATATTTTTGTTTCTCTATGAAAAATATATCATGACTTTTCTGATGACCCCATAAATGGCTCACATAGAGTGATGTCCAATTCACAATGCAGCACAGTCATTTGAGTATGTTTTTGACTGCTTTACTACTTGTTAGTTTCTTGAATGGCAACGACAAACGTTCCTCTATAAATTCCTGCAGTGACCTAGAACGTGACTCAGAGTTGGCACTAAAATTATTTGTCACATTGATAAATGACTAAATGAATGAGTACGTGATATTTTGATTTAATTTACACAATGGTAGGTGTTCGGATTGGCAATATGCTGATGACTACTGAGTTGATGTGGTGCATGATTAACCCTATCACATTAAACAAGTGATTAAAATGAAAATACTTAAATTATTTACATGAAATTCTAAGGAAGTGATTTTACTATTTATAAGTTCCTACCACAAAATTGAGTGTATTAAAGACAGAATTTCCATTTATTTCTGCATTGAAAAAAATACAGCCAAAATGGCAGACTAACAAATACTGGGTTGTCAGAAAAGTCATGACATAGTTTTGCATAGAAAAAATACATCATGTTTTTTCTGACAACCCAATATTTTCATTACAAAGTTGAAACTTCTGTGTGATATAAATGAAATGTCAAATAAACATTCATTAACAGAGTATCTTCTTTGGTTGCCTATTCTAGGATATTTAAAAAACTATTTTGTGTATTTTGATATTAAAAAACCCTTATTTTACATCATTTCCTTTGGGCAATTACACATCTATTACAAAAAATGGTCAGCCCATCTTTATGCCATTTTCTTGAAAAAATAAAATTATCTTCATCATATAAATGGCAATTTATTAGTAAAGTGTAGTTAGTAAAGTTTCGAGTAAACAAAGTAATATATACATATTAATACATATATTGTTCTCAGGTGAGGAAGAATTCACAAAGGGATCTGGTGGCTTTTCAAATTTTACTCATAATGCTTAGTTGCATTTGTTATTTAAAAGCCTTTTAAAACATCTTGAATCATCTCACCACAGTGAAATATAGAGAAAACATAAACACATAAAGTCATACTGAAATTGAATTTGGTTTATTTAAGCTAAGATTTAAGTTATTTCAATACATTGTTCATAATTTTATGAGATACTACATTATTCACTCAGTCTTTAATGTATGTACCCCTAGAGGAAACAGTTATTGATATTTCTTTTTAGCAATGTTCTAAATACATTTGTGTGAAATTATCCTGAGATTTATGTTATTTAAATAATACTGGCAAAAAAACTTTGTTAGAAAAGTTCTAAAGAGATCTAAAAGGCTTGCATGTTCTTACAGTTTACATTAGAAAACAAACATTATACCTTTAGCTCTTCTACCTTCAAAAATAAAATAATAAGCTTTCAAAATTTTATCCTCAAATAGCCTTTATCCTTAAATGAGCCTTATGGATATTTAAATTGCATGCAAATTCCTGGTATGAAAATGGAAATAAAACCTTGGATCTCATCTTAAAAAATGATTTGGGAATACCTTGCTGAGGAGTGGTTAACATTTTATTACCTAGGGTGAGAGCCAGGAGGGCAATAGGAAGGAGTTATTTTTGACTATAGGCATCTCTGGAGCTCTATAACATATACGGCTGCGTGTCACATTAACATATAAAATTAACTTCTGGAACCCCCCAAAGCATCATTAAAACAAGCCTCAACAAGATACAGCAAGTCAAAGTGCCGCTGACAGAGACTGGCACTCAGGCAGTGGATCAGCCGGGTTAACAAAGCCTAGCAGGAAGCCATTCATTCAGAATCACCTTCTGTACCTGCTCCAGATGCGGAATTTTAACCAATCAGACAAACAGACGATAAATATGTCATTCTGTGCATAAATTATGCCTCCTACCTTCTGGAAATGATTTTTTTCCCCCTCTCAGTGGGGAGAATTAAAAAAAAAAAAAACCACAAAACAGTTGCTTTATTTTGCTTCAAATACAATTTTAATGAGCTTTGAAATGATCATACTAAAAATATCTATAGTGTTTGTATTCAGAGGAATCATCTTGTAATCATTTAAACTCATGTTCTTTTAGAAAACAATGTTGTCCTTTCTTTTATTAATAAAGATGGGTATAAGAAGGTGTATTTATATGTAGAAATAACTCATAATATTAGCTACTACTTATGAAGAAATCCTAGATAAATGCTTAATATATAAATACAGCAATGAGTTTATGGATAATCTAGTAGTCAATCCATTTCACTTATGCCTACCCCAAGGAATTGGGTATTGTATCCATGATAATATTGATACTGATCTTAAAAAATTTGGCCCCAGCCATAAAATATAAATTTGGCCCCAGCCATAAAATATAAATTTGGACATTTGAAATTCCCATGAAACAGTAAACAATAATTTTTATGTATAAATGAAAAGGCCAGCAAATAATTTAGTTCTTGTTATAAGCTTAGGATTTGATAATAAATTTAAGATATGACTACACACACCCTCAGACTACCAAATTTTGCATAGAATTAGTGATTTAATTAATGGTACTCTGTGGTCAATGAGGGAAGACGAGTGAATGGAATAGCTGAAAGAGTATAAATCCTTGCTCGACAATAGCCTTCACACTATCAAATTTTCTCATCACTTTAGCCTAAGAAATAAATACATCATACGTTTTTTTTATAATAACATAAACAAGGTGAGGTAAGATGCTATGGTATAATAATAAGTGCTTTGGATTTTGATTTCTTTAAGAGTAAGTATATGCTGGTGTCTGCCTTAGAAATGGGCACCCCCATCATGTTCCTCTATTTTCCAAATTGCAAAAAAAGGATGCTTTTCCTATGATTTAAAAGCAAAAACATTCAAAAGGTAACAAATTGCAGCCAACATTAGCATCTATGTGTTTTGCTTATAAAAAATCAAAATTTTTAATTTAGTTTCCATTAAAACCACATTTTCCCCCTATATACAGCCTCCTTTGTTCTGAAATAATAATGACCTCAACCACGGCATGAAGTCATATTTAAAGCACTCTACTGGTAGAATCTTAAAAAGAATTAAGTTACAGGTTAAGGGGAAATACTTTTTTTTTTTTAACTTCAGGATTCTCTCCAACTAAACAAAGGTAGTTTTAATAAAAGTTTAGCGAACTCCTTATAAAATTAAGAAATGTGAATCTTAGGTCATTGGTGTATCTAATGGAAATAGATTGCATTGAGTTTTACAGGACAGCATTATCTACAAGAATATGCATGAATGTGCAGTAAAGCAGGACACTGTACATTAGGCTCTATTGCCAGCAGAACCTCAACCATTTTTGCTCATTTATAATGTGATATGGGGATTTTGAACTCTCCATAGACATGTCAGATACAAAAAAAAACACTAATTTATTACTTACCAGTAGTTCTCAAATATACTTCTCAAGGGACGTGAACTTACCATGAAAAACACACTTGGATATGGAAATTATGAGATGATCATACCACACAAAGAGAGCGCAAAATTTTCTGGATTATTGTGTCACATTTGTCAAGGATACTAACCATCCTATGATTAATGGCATGTAAGAAACTAAATCATATCTTATTGTATGCCTTACGTATTGTGTTAGAGCTGAGTATC